TGATTTGCAAGTATACATTTATGAGTCATTCACATATGGATGTTACTAAAAGTAATGAAAATGGGTGGGATCACCTAAGATATATGAGCGCTGGGACATTCCATCATTTAGAAGGCAGGAAAAGAGGAGGTTGATCAGGAGAGTTTACTGAAATCATAAATCATGAAAAAATGAACTAAGAGGGGAAAACTCCAGCATCATGGTTAGGTTCTTATCCAGCACAGTCTATGGAATGGACCTTGAAATCAATTCATTTCCTGGCCTTCTGTTAATGTTCTCAGATGCCATGGCAGACTGTCCCTTTCTCGAGATGGTAGAATGGAGCCAAGTTAAATCTACAGAAGCTACAACCTCCTTTGAGTTGTTTCTCAGTATCATGCTAGCTCAGAGGCAAATGCATAGGGCTCTAAGAGAACAGAATTAATGCCAGTACAGCCAAGTTCTAATTGCTTCCTAGGTGGAACTGATACAATAGATCAAATAAGCCTTCTGCTTATCACCTCTCCATAATGAAGCCATTAAAATCAGCCTGTGTGTCCCTAGGTAATTCATGAGTGCTGACTTGGTGAGATACAGAGTAAGTAAGGCCAACAGAGTTAATGCTTGTGGCTTAAGTATTGCCTGAGTTTTTTGAGGGACAGTATTTTATGGATTTGAATAAATTGTATGTCCCTTTAAATGATTATGATTTAAATGATTCCAAACATCCCTATCAGCATCAGGCCAAGTTATCAACTTTATAGCCTCCTGTTACTTGTCACTTCAGCAAACTAAAAGATACACTGCTCAAGGTAACAATCTGACAAACACACTGCCCTTTCTATATTTAGTGCAAAATACCATAGGATTCATTTTTTTATTTTGCTGTATTGCACATATAATTCTGGTATAAAATTGGATGACTTCTCAAGCTTTGGTTTTTAAAATAATCCTTGCTATTTTGTTGCCTTTTAATCTGCCAAATTATTTGGCCTTTTCTGACAGAAAAAGTACTGTTACACACTTACTGAATGAAATTGGTTATGAGGTACCACCTAACTTTGAGGACCTTGCCTACCACATCTTTCCGGTTCTGCCACAGTGTAATCCATGATGAAATGTAGCTTCTAGAAAAATGGAATTTTATCACAAACAGCAGAACCATGAAGATAAGCATTTATACTTTATGGTGGATTAAATTGTTAGTTAAAAGATAGCCCAGTGATTGGGAGTATGGGTTTTCAGTTGATTAGGAGTGTGAGTTTGTTCACAGTGAGTTACAACTAATCATACTATATTTTTTAAATAAAATATAGTTGGAAATAGCAACTATATTCTTCTTTTGCTTTTCTTTTGGTTACACATCTTATTACCTTAGTGGAAAGATAGAAAGTACACTAGTTAAAGGGCCTGGATTAAGAAAACCACTTGGCTCTACCATTCACTTGTTGTGTGACCCTAATCAGTTCACTTAAAACCTCTCTGGATCTAAGTTTTCTCATCGGTAGAATAAGACACTTATTCCAAATTATGCCTAAGATCTAATCTTCAGTGGATAGGCATTATTAGTATTTGCCAATATCTAGTTCTCCTCCTCTTCTGAAGCTGTGTAACAGGTTCTGGCCAATCAGATGTAAGAAGGGTTATGTCACTTTCAAGCTGTGGACAACCTGTGTACAGTTCTTCAGTCTCTCTTCCATGTCAAGGCAATAGAGAAGCTCACATGTTCCAGGTGATGCAGCCTTAAGGTAGTAGAGCCCTTGTCTGCCTGGATCTACTTGGGGCATATAGCATAAGCATGAAATATCTGTGAGTTGTGTTACACCATGGGAATTTTAAGGTAATTTGTTACTGCTGTGTAACCTAATTTATCCTAACTAATATATCACATCTAACTTCCTATGGTTTTGAGTCATTTTTTTTCCCATTTTACGAAGTTTTTTTACTATATTGTAAGAGTATACTATATTGAATGAGAGTACAAATGAAGGAATTTGAAGGCCATGACTTTTTTTCAAATAATTATATAAATTGATAACTATTAAATCAGTCTTCAAACACAATCCTTAGCATTACTCTGGTTTTCAGTTTCAATCTCTGAGAGACTAATTTCTGAAATATTATGTAATTTCCAATTATTTTGGCTATACTTCTTAACAGATAAAGCAGCTGTTTTATTTCCTCATTCAGAGTCTCTCCCTAGATATTTTAAGCATGAAATTATGTAGAAAAATACAGGCTTTTCATAGTTTATGATTTTAAAAAAATGTTAATGGTCTATATGAAGAGATAACTGTTACCACAAGATTGCCACATGTCTCCAAGGAAGATTCAAACAATGCTTATTCTTTGAGAGTGAAGTAGTCTGTCTTGCTTATAAACAAACTTTCTTGGACGTAGTGCCCAATTCATGGTGTGTACCTTAAACAAAGATGTTTTGGTTGAACCCAGGAATCATTGTTTTAAATGACAGAACTAATTATATTGCAGCAGTATCTTGATGCTATGAGAATAAAACCTTAAGAAAATCTGCCAGGAAAGAATTTCAATTTATAGAAAATGTGACATTTCCATGTCTGAGATGTTACTCCAGTCTGGCGTGGGACTTGAGGGCAGGCCCACCTACATAACCTACCTAATCAGTGCAAAATGAAAATGTAGATCCCCATGTTCAAAAAGTAGGATGAAAACATGCTATTAAAGATACAAAAATACAAAGCTTTTTTAAGTTAAAGAAACTCATAAAGCATAACCAATAATGATACATGAGTAATAACATAAACCTGCAGATAGCAAAAAATATATATGTATTTTTGGTATCATAATTTTATATAATATAATTAATATTTTATTAATGTGGTAGCTTGATTAGTCATAAGGTTTTTCTGGCTCCCTTCAAGTTCACTTATATCATCAAAATTTTTACTTTAGCAACTTTTAAGTGATACAATTAAAAGCAAATCAGTCACTCCAGGCAAAAACGAAAGATCACACATAATTTTTGGTAATTTTTTATTTTGAGAAGAATCTTTCTGCTGCTGCAGCTGACCCTGGAGCTGTTAAGAATATTTTATAGGCTGTGACAACACTGGGATAAATTTCTGACATATTATTTCAAAATATAAATTTTAGTAACACTTGAGCAGATGACTCTTACAGAACATTTTTTCTAAAAAGATTGAATTAACTCTTCATACATATTAGTTTCGTGTGTCAGAATTTAATTTTAAATATAAATTTATACAGTGTCCTTTTAGTGTTTTCTCTGGCATGTCCTATAACTTGTGGAAGTCATACAAGACTCCAAAAGTCACTTAATGATTTGTATATAATTCAGAATGCCTATTTATACTTTCTATTACTGTATCTTCAATTACAAAGAAAAATTAACTTTAAAATTGTCTTCTCATTTATTCAAATCTGCATATAAAAATAGCATTTTTTCCATCAAATGCAACAATCTTTGTATTTAATTTCTCTTCTTAAGTAAGTCTGTGGATATTTGCTTTGCAATATTGTAGCAGTTTCTAAAACCAACCAATCTTAACTCTTCAGAGAATTCTGATCTTTTTAATGTGCTTTATTGCTGTGTCTGTGTGTATGCTTTAATATTGTAATAATTTACTTATGTTTACTGCCTAAACACTACCAGTTATCCCAGTGCTCAGGCCAGAGAGCTAATTGTTTACCTCAGGAATGGGTTCTAGGAAAAGCAGGCAAATCAGCCTCACGGCACTACCACCACTGCTGTGGCTTCTGCTGCCACCATCATCCTCTCTAATCCAGGCCAGGGTCCTATGCCCACCTGCCTCCCCTTTCCCTTCTCCCCCCCCCCGCAGCCCTGTGGCACCCCAGAGTGCTTCAGGCATACCAGGCAAGACAAGTCATCTGCTTGGAGTACACATTGCCCATTGCCCACCATGCCCTTGGGTCTGAGCCCAGATGTGCATGCCTAGCCCATCTTCTCTGCCCACACACATTCTCCCCTGTCCCATCAGAACTTAATTTGCAGAATTTAAGGTCAAAGGTCAAATCACTAAGAATTCCAAGACAGTAGCAGTAAGAGCATTAAACCAAGCACAGGTCACACATACCCTGCCTGAGGCTTCTTGATATATATATGTAGAAATTACTTGGCTTCTTGTTTAAATGACTATGGAGGCAAATACATTTATGCCTTTGGCTTTCCATCCTGAAAATAACATACAGTGGGCCATGGATGAGGGTGCCATTGACCACAGTTATTTTTTCTGCCTCTATGCTGCTCCAAGCTTACCCTTTTTGATAAAAATGCTGGACACCAAAGCAGTCTTTCTTTGGAAGATCTCCTTAGAGATTCAGATGAGGGTTTCATTTCCTAAGATTCTACAGAAAGTGGGAGTAGGATAGCAGGAAGGAACCAGCATTTATTGTGTCCTTATGTATTACTTTATGCCAATGGATTCATTTAATCCTAACAGGGGTTTTATTAGCCCCTCATGCATGAGAAACTGAACTGAGAGATTGAATATTTTTTCCAATATCATACAGCTTGCAGATGGTGGAGCAGAAATTTAAGCCGGGTCTGATCTGGCTGCAAAGACAAACTACCTGGGTTAAAATCCTGATTCTGTTGCATAAAGCCTTCATGTTAGACATGTTCATTTCCTGAGCTTAGGTTTCCTCGTGCATATAATGGGGATCAGACTAGTACAGTACCTACCTCACAGGGTTGTTTAGAAGGTTAAGTGAAGGTAAAGATACATAATGCATTAAGAATAGTTCCTAACACTTAGTAAGCATACAATAAATGTTACTACTACTATCATTGCTATTATCATTGCTTTGCCCACTCCACAGTTTCTCTTCACAGGTTAGAAAAGAATGTTGGAGATCAGCAGAAAAAAAGCTTATAGTCAGCAAGGGTCTTCTGGTATTTATCTTCCCTAAAGTTTCCCTAAAAGGTCTTCTTGCATGTGATATGACCTTTGATCTGATTCTTGTCCTAGGCAACCCATCTCTGTGGGCCTTTGAGTTCTAATGTTCTACTGATCTGATCATCTTCTGTCTGGATTTTGTGTATTACAGGTATGAGACATCTCTGTTGGATTTGGTTCAATCTCTGAGCCCAAAGTCGGCCCCCAAACCTCAGCCCCATCCCTCCAGAGAAGCTGAGGTCTGGAGCCACAGAGCTGGCCGACTAAGTCCCCTAAAATCAACGTGGAACAAGGTGAGGGCAGGCAGGACCCCCGAAGACCTGGAGGAAAGTCAAATTCTGGAAGATATCTTTTTCATTTGACACTGAAGCACATGCTACAAAATTCCCAACAGAAATATGTGGGTTTCTTTATGTACTGACCTAGGATTTTAAATTATTTGATTGCAAAGTAATTGTGTCTCTCCTTTTACAGGGACCTATCTCTCTACATGCTGTTATGAATTGAACATGTATTTTTAATCAGACCAATTGGTAGATAACTTATTAAGGAAGGATGGGGTAGAAGGCAGTATCTTTTCTGTATCATGCAGAGATTAGAAAACTAATATGGGACACTTTATGCATGCAGAGGCCTTTCCATATATTTGGCCTCATTTCAAGAGTGTTTCCTTCTCAATATTTTGCTGAACAAGGTTGGCTATCTTTTGTAAACAAGGAAAACTTTTTCACTGAAAGAATCTCTTATTTAAAAGTAGCCCCTTTGAAACATGCAGTTTCAAAAAAGACCCTGTTACCTCTCCATCTTTCATCACCTACTTCTATCTAACTGTAGTCATTTTCTTCTGAAGTTGGATTTCGCAGTTGCCCATCCCTTAATGAAAAGGGCACAATTGGCTAGAGGGAGAGACCCAACCAGCAGTTGCAAACCTGGCATTAAATCACACAACAGAGTGACTTCCCCAGGGAAATCTGGTGGAGGCACAAGCCTGAAATGCTTTTCCTACATTCTTCCATTTCCCAGGATGAATAAGAGCAATCTCTCAGTATTTTTTTATTGACCCAATTGTCTATTTTATTCACCCTTGTGAACTTGCCATGCCTGTGTCTGGGGAATATGCTACCAGAGGGGGAGCAGCAACAGCCGCAGCAGGCCGACAGGCTTTCCCTGGCCTCCCTCTCACCCCACGAGGATCAAAGCCCCTCAGTTAACCATGCCTTCATGTGCTCTGCTCAGGGCCGTGTCCCATGGCCCCACAGAATCATTTCTACCTGCCAGATTATGCTCTACCAGCCCAAGCAGTCTCCCCACTTTCCCACTGGGCCTCACTTTACCCAGTGAGAGAGCCTGTGGAAGACGTTCACGTGAGACCTCATTCGGTGCCTTCCCATTCAGCAGAGCTCCTGAGATGGGTCTCTCTGCCCACAGTGGGCTCCGGTGGCCTCCGGATGATGGGCAGTGTGGTGAGCCTAGCAGAGCTGGCGAGTTTAAAACTTTCCATTCACTAGAAGCAAAGGGGTGTGTGTTGCCCAGTGACTTTAATTGACCTGGAGAGTGTTGCTTTTTTTCTCTCTCTCTCCTTTTCACCAAACCCAGGCTTGAACTGGGACCAAGACACTTTGTCAGTCAGAATTGGTAGCCAAGGTCAGCCTACCCAGGGCAGCCTGCACTTAATGAGCCTGCCTAGCTTCCCTGAATCCTTCATTGAAAGTAGGTTATTTCAGCCTACAAAAGCCTTGTTGAGCAGCTTCCTTATTAGAATAGATCTCCCATTGTCTCTTCAAACCAGGGCCATGTCACTTCCACCCAACCTTCCTTCACTCAGGTCTTCTTGTTCTTTGGAGGAGAGAAGAATGGACCCTACCAATACCATATCCTTCATCTGAGGTAATCTGAGGTCAGGACTAACTAGTTGTAGTCATTTACTTAAAAAATTGAAAAATCATTACAGATTACAAAATCCTTTTAAAATTCACTCTTGTGAGAGTAACTGAATCAGTTTTATCCCATTTCAGAAAGCTTTTTGGAAAATGGAGCTTTCTTTGGTGTGGCAGAAATGGGTGGAGCATACTGAAAGCCCTCAGCCATTTTCTCAATTAAAGTTAGATTTCCAGAACTATCTTTTCCTTTCCCCATGTGTCATGACACACCTTGAGTTCACCCAGCTCTGCTGGATCAGCCACAACCACACTCTCCCATCCTGGACACCAAAGCTTTTATGATTCTTCAGAATAACAGAATACCAGAAGGACCAAGAAAAGGATTATGATTTCTTTAAGAAACTTATTTGCCTTTAGAAGACTTGTAAACAAGATCTAAACTAAAAGCTTTTGGGGAGTCACATGCCATAAAATGGAGTTTAACTGCTTCTTCTCCTCCCCTTGCATGAGCAGTTTAGAAGAACAAAGATGGATTTTCATCAGAGCATCAATCAACATATTTTTCATAGATCATATTCCCCCAGCAGTTGCCTTTATCCTCTAGGTATTTCTTTAGCGTCAGCCCAATAGGATGTCAATTTGTGTTTAATCTAATGTCTTCACTATGAATCAAAGAGTATGTGTTAATATTTTAATCTTTGTCTTACTTTGAGACAGATCTGTGTGAAAAAGTTGTTTTAGAGTCTCAAGGCTGTTGTAGCATCTAGAGGCTTACCCTGACTGCAGACTGTCCTGCCAAGGGAGGGTCTGTCACAAAGCAATCCACCTTTCCTCCGTGTTAAGTGTTCCCAGCAGTGACTGGTTGGGATTTGCTCATTGGCCTCCAGCTGCTTCCCCAAAGCAGCACACACATTGGGAGTGCTCCTAAGCCCTGTGCTCCATGTTATTCAATTCTTATGAGAGGGGGCCTCTTTTCATACTTTTTAAAAATCATTTCATTATATGGATTTTTCTTGAAAACCACCTCATATCCTTTATGGAATGAGGCCAGGCATATATGTACGCACAACATTGCCCACCTGCTACCCACCATTTTGTGACAGAAAAACTAATCAATGTTTGCAAAATGGGAAAGGACGAAGAATGTCAGTTGAAGCTCCCTAAGTAGGGCTCAAAGTACTTGATTCAGAAAAACAAAGTTAATCAAGAAAAGCATTTACCTAGAGTCACCCTTCCAGGAGGGACAGTGTGTTTATCAAAACCTGACCCCCACGATGAAGACTCATCTGGAGAACCCCAAATGTAATGGTGAAGGAGAGGCTCTCTCTGCCTTCAGGGCCACACTTGTCACTTTGCCTTCTTCCAGCACCATGGTTCAAACGAGAGATTTGTTGGCCAGAGACTCGGGGAAGAGGCAGGTCTAAAAGAGCAGAGCTGAGTGAAGTCTGCAGTCATGAGGGAAGTGGAAGTGACAGCCACCCAGTTCATGCTTTATCCTCACCACAGTGTGCATTATTTTTAATGTGAGCACCTGTTTATATGTGTATGAAATTTTAAGTTAATAAATTGTCTCATGTTTGTTTTCCCATTGTGGTTTTGATATGACCTGTCCCTTGAACATCCCTCATCAGATCAGTAGGGCCTAGCTTGAAAACAGGAGCAGAGTCCCAGGTTATCAAATGTTATTTTCCTTAGTACTTGTTAACACAGCTGGAGCTTGGGTCAACCGAAAGAAGGGAAATGGTTTGCCACATCCTAATAGATTTTTCTGGTTGACTCCTCCAGCTCACTGCCACCACGTGGACACCAAGCTTCCTCTAGGTCATGTGGTTGGTGGAATGGAAGTTTCTATCTGTGAGTCCTTCTATGTGCCTGTTCCCAAAATTGCTCAACAAGGTAGGACTATCACGGCACTTGGGACAGGAAAAATGGCCCTGCTTAGTTGGCTGTAGGGGCTTAGACGAATAGAAGGGAGAGGCTGAGTGCTTGAAATGCCAGTTTTGAGATCACCCCTGTGGATTCAGCTAAGACAGGCAGTGACCCTATGCTGGCTCCTGTGCCAGCCTGATTCCTCCACCTGGACAGGGAGACTTTGCAGCTGCCCCTCAGAGGCAGAGGTGGCAAGAACAGAACCATCACCCAGCCAGTTCCCAAGCCCTGCGCTCCAACTTATTCGCTTCTTATGAGACAGGGCCTCTTTTCATACTTTTTAAAAATCATTTCATTATATGGGTTTTTCATGAAAACCACCTCATATCCTTTATGGAATGAGGCCAGGCATACATGTATGCACAACTGAAATTTGAGGATCTTAATCTTTTTCACCAATTGTGAAAACGAGGCTTAATAAGACAACTGAGGTCATCAGCTAGTAAGGAATAGAACTGCAGCTCTGACTCACTTCCCTTCTGCTCCCAGTCAGTCTCCAGGGTATCTAAGTCCTCCACCTCCAATTTCTCAACCTGCCAACTTCGCTTTCTCTGCTGATGCTTAACTAGCACAACAGTCCCTCCCTGGTCTTCCTGCCAGATGGCTTGGATTCATCCTTGAACGTGTGACTTTGCCTCTCTCTGCCTTGCTCTTATCCTTACATGGGGACCATAATTGGACCTACCTTATTATGAAGGGTAAAAGCTCATGCACATAGAGCGCTCAGCATACAACAAAACAAGTACTCAGTAAGGCTTACCTGTTATTATTCTCCATAAAGCCACCAGGGTCAGCTTATCATTGCACATCCTGATTTAACGTGCTGGACAGTTTCCAGGCTCTTAGTTTCCTGTTGCATTTATGAGAGAGTTTGGACTTCTGATCATAGTGCCTAGGCTCATCATGATTTTGCCACTGCGTCTTTGGACCTCCGGCCCCTTTCACCCACTCTTTCTCTCTCTTGGACTTCTGTGCTCCAACCACTGTGAACTTCCATTAGTTCCTGAAGGAACTCTAATATCCTTGTCCTGACCTTCTTAGGAACTTCTTAAGTCCTTTGTGTACATCCTTTGTCACAGTACTTACTGTCCTAGAATGGCCAGTTTATCTGATTCCTCCTAGACTCCAGGCCCATGATGGCCAGAGTAAGCTACCAGCCGTATTCATCACTAACTCCCCGGACAGAGAATGGTCCCTGGCACACTGTGGACTCTGAATCATTATCATATAGATGAACAGCTGGGTGCACGGGAGGGCAGGAAGGAATATATGAAACAGGCATGAGCCTCCAAAGCCTGGTACTCCGTACTGCTCCCGACTGCTTGCGGCTCCCTCTGGAAGGAGAAAGTGAGCTCCCCCCTGAGGGGACTGGGGAAGGGTGGGGCTCAGGGACAGCTCCCCTATTCCCACTCTAATCCCATTCCCTCACTGACTAGCATCTTATTTCCAAAACAAATCTAAGATCTGTAACTTCCCTGCTTAAAAATCCAAAGGATTCCAACACTGTTTACAGGGCATCCCTTGGAGGACACACCAGGACTCCCAGCGTCCTGCCCGACATCCACTTCCCACCTCCTCATCTCTGCTCCTCACTGCAGGTCGTCTCCGGACACCCCGCTCTCTCCTGTCTGTGTACTCTTTCCACATCCCTTTCTTGGGTGGGTCTCAGTTGTCATTGCTCCCGTGTTTCCCTGAGCCCCCCGCATCCTTGTAGGTTCTTTTATCTCATATCTCAGTTCCACAGCACCATGGAGAACCTTCTGATGGAGCCTACCTCACATTGTGCTGTGTTTTGGGTACTGTTTGTCTTCCCTGTTAGAATGTGATGTCCAAATACAACATATACTGACCTTGGAATCAGCCCAGCCTTACCACTTGTGAACTGTATACATTTAGGCAAGTTACTGATGTCCTGTAAGCCTTATAATGCCTGGATCGCTGACCTAGCCCTGGAAACTAGGCCAGAGGAAAGCCAGAATAGTGAGGCCCAAGTGTCCATAAAAGAAGAAAAGAATGTCTAGTGAAGCCAGAGGCACTGAGAGGGGCTTAGAACATAGATAAACCAGCAGGCAGGCCCAGGAGTGAAGAGCAGTGTTGGAGTTTGTGAGAAAGCAGAAGACTAGAAGACCAGTCCCCATGTGAGGTACCTGGGTGGATGGGGCATCCGCTCTGGCCTCTCCCTCACTCCTCTGCAGTCTGCAGGTAAGTGGCCTTGCCTGGCCCCTCCTTGGCACCACCCCACAGGTGGTGATGGCCCGTGGCCTGACTGCCACTTGCGTGCCCACACCCACTGCCCTTCACCTGTTGTGCGGTTATAAGCTGGTCTTCCCCACTTTGTCCACTTCCCCATCCTTCATCCCTCTAAGTTCTGAGGTGGCCAGTCCAGTGCTGAGGTTAGGGGGCTGGAGGGAGAGCTGGCTTCCTGCTGCTTGTCGCTGCCAGTTGAGACAAGATGAGCTTCACAGTCCCCGTTTTTGGTGTTCTCCCAGCTGGAGGTGATTTAAGCTTGTTGGATTTGTATAACATTGGGAAACAGTAAACTGTGTAAATTTGCTATGTTTTTCTGGGACATTTATGGAGGGGCATTTCTAACTCAAGTGCAGAAGTTTTAAATCATTATAATAAATTCATGCTATTCAGACTTCCTTACAGTGTAATAAATTTTTTTCTAAGCATGAATGAGGAGATCCATGATTCCTCTAATATACTATTCTGTATTTCTTCTCAAAATGACACAGCTTACTATATCAGCTTGGAGAATAATACAAGGAGATTTACTGCACTGGAGGGAAAAAGTTGAGTAGCACTGAGTCTGAGAAGGGACTTGGGAACAGTGACCCCCACACAGAACTTCTCCCCACCTCTCTGCTTGCTTCTTATCTTATGTGCACCCAGAGCAGGGAAGGCCTCGCTAGGGGTGCATTTCCCCAAATCTGCCAGCTGAGCTTAGGAAGAGAGCCTTCAAGTAGAGAAATGGGGCCAGGGACCCCAGTGGCCTTCTGTCCCATCCTATCCAGGGCAAGGTGTTAGAGTCAGACTCTTTCAGAAATGTGGACCTTCCCGGTGATGTGAAACCCCTTCTGTTATCAGTCTGAGTAGAGAGCTGCCCTGCATGCAGTCAGCCATCTCTGACCACCTGCCTCTTACCTCAGTCCTCACCTGGATGCTCACCAGCACAGAGGGTTCATAGTTTTCATCAGATTCTCAAAGGGATCTATCACCAGGAAGTTCAGAAATTACTTGTCTTCGGTTAACTCTGAAGTATTGTCTGTCCACTATGTGCTCGGCAAAGTCCAGTGCCATCGTTCCAGACCGGCAGCAGCATATGGGAACTGTATGGAGCCACAAGGAGAGTTCCCAGAGCCACAGAGGCCTGAACAGCCACCCATGGGAGGGGGACTTCAATCAGAATTTTCCCAGATGATGGGGCTTTTTTGCTGGGCAAACACAGGGAGGGAAGGGTGCTGCAGGCAGAGGAGCAATGTGTCAAAGGCCTGCGGGCAGGGGCCTATAAAGGGAATGAGCTCCTTGAATGTTAAGCCTGGTGTTTAAACTTGGAGGAGCAGCAGGGTCTAGTGGAAAGAGAACTGTATCAGTTTACTTAGCGCCCCATCAGATGCTGAGGTTAAAATCTTTGCTCTGCCATCTTAACTATGTGTCACTGTGTGAGTCCCCTCACCAGAGCAGACACAGGGCCTCTATCAGCAGAATGCAGGTAGCACACCAGCCTTGCCTGGCTCACAGATGGCATGGGATCCATGGAAAGATGCTCCCACACCTGCTGGGTGAACAACCACACAGCACCTTATGTGTAATCTGGTGCTTTTGTGATTTATCTGCAGGCTGGCAAGGGGCAGTAGGCCCCTGATGCATGGAGGACTGGAGGTCCCATGGCCACCAGGCAAGCTTGGCCTGACAGCTCCCAACCATGCAGCTCTCGTGCTGCATGTCACCACCTCAGGCAAGGCCCCCAGCTCCCTCCTGAGCTCCAGTGGAGCACCCACTGCCACACCCACCCCAGTTTCAGAATGCCAGTTGCCTGTGCCTCTGCCCCCAGCCTGGGCTGCCCTCCTGGGAGCTGGGACTGTGTCAGAGCCATCACCACATCCTGGGGCAGGGGCCTGGCTTCTCCAGCCACCTCTGCCTCAACAGCCTGGACACTCCAGCGGCCAGCTTGGAGGACTGTCGGGAGCCCACAGAGTCAGGAGCTGACCTTGGGGGTCCCTGAGCTGTGGGTCACATGCCACCCACTTCCAGAACGGGTGTCTGCAGGTCACTCAGCTCATTCCTTCTCCCCCACCCCAGTCTCCACTCCCCACTTCTATATTTTCAATTCTGTCACCTCTCTCTTCAGAACTGAAGGTTATATCATTTTCTTGTGTTGCTAATCAGACTGCTCCTGAGGAGGGGAGTGGGAACAGTCAGAGCCTGGGTGTTTCCTTCACTCTACTGCCGTGGGCAGGATCCTCATGATGCTGCATGAACACACTTCTCCTGTCCACTCAGGAGTTTCTTCTTTCACCCTCCCACATTTGGGGATGGGGGAGGCAGTGAAAAAGGGAAAAGGAAGGGGAATTAGTTGCTGAAATGCCTGGTCCAAATGACTGACAGCTTTCCCAGGCTGATGCATCTAATGTTCAAACTGGCCACATTTT